TCAGCCTTTTTGGCAACTGTCATTGGAAAGACTGAAGAAACAAAATGGTTTGAGCCACACACTGAAGAGAGAAACAACATTGGATAAAGCTGACCCAGGCGGTTATGATTTGTCTGAGGTGGCTGGGGGGAGGGCATGTAAAGGTCAGAATTATCCATGAGGTTTATTTTGCTTGGAATCCAGAAATGAAGCCAATTAAGGTAACAGGAAAATAGTAACAAATACTTCTGATGACTTGGAGGTCTAGATTTTGGGAATATTGCAAGCAGCCTGCATGCTTGAAGCAGCAATCTGCATGCATAATTAAGGGCCCGAATTTATGCAATCAACAGTTTTGATGTGCAATATATTTTGGGTGAATCCATATTTACTTAAGGCAGATGTATACAGAACAATTGGGAGTTCCAAAAATACAAGGGCAGAAGAATGGGAAAAATATTTGTATGTAACAATAAGATTTTTCAGACCTGATTTCTAAATATAGAACAGCCAACTCGATGTGTTGGTGTCTTTATTTTTAATATAATCTTCATTCAAACCCTTGGAAAAATGCACAAACACATTTTGGAGGAAACAAGCATGGAAGAAGGATCAAATTCTATTCAGCTGCTCTAGCTTCTGTCCCACCATGTGATTCTTTTTTTTTTCCATGTTGAAGAGTGAAAATCTGTCAAATTCATAACCTCATCACTCCAAAGATCACGTGTCTTCATGTTTGCCTACAGTCAAGGCTCAGATGCATGAGTATTTGAAAATAACTCTTTTTTTAAAAAAGAATCTATTTGAATAAGACAAATGACCAAGATGTGTAATTTTTATTTCTTTCAATGTAAGTCCTCTCAGGTGATGAGGGAACTTGGAATTTCTTGGTATGTTCATTCATTCCAATGTGTTTGTTTTTTGACCTGCATATTTTGTTCTCTATAGTATAATGCCATTTTAAAGACATCGTAATAGCCGACATTTAAATAGTGGGTTGAGATTTGCAAACGTTTTACATACAGTATTTTCTTAGATCCCTTAGAGGCAGGCCCTACGGGTAATATTATATCCATTTTATTAATAAGGACACTGAAACACTGTGAGGTATGATGACTATCCCACGATCCTGCAACCTGTAAGTAACAAGCAGGATTGGAATCCCAGTTTCTTTTGACTCATACTCAAACACTGTTGTCCTTTAATCATCAAAAATTCCTACTCTTGACCAATATAGTGAATCTCATACTGAAGTAAACTTACTTTTCCCATGTATTAATCCTTAAGTGTACCTTCAATCTCACTGGTATAAGCACTCCTGCCAAAGATGCAGGTGGAAGCCCATCTCTACCTCCTCATCTTGTACATCTCTTATTCAATCTTCCTGGAAATCCTCGGGGAGGGGGGGACACCCTCTACATCAGTTGACACTGAATGGATACCAAAGGCCTACTTCCTTTTGCAGTCATACATCTTCTGATAACATCTTTTCTGCTGCTTAAAGTTTTGTTAATAGTATTTTTCAGACTACTCACACCCATTATGGGCCTGTGTTCCCTTTACAAAGCCTTTATGAGAAAAATTGACACATGCATCGGGTACATCCCGGTTAAAGACTAGAGAAGGGAGTTTTTCCAAATTTTCCAAAATTTCCAAGCTTTTCCAAATTATATTCTGTAGAGGTTCGCATCTTTATAGTCACATAATTGACTGAAAGGTTCAGAGAATGCAAGATCCCACTGGGTTTATTGTTTGTTGACTATAAAAACAATTGATTCATTGGAGCAGAACACCACCCTAAAGAATATTCTCTAGCAAAGTGTCTCCCATGGATATGTCAAAATCAAATCTGATTTCTCAGAATATATAACAACAGCAATACCTTCATCTGAAGACAATTTTCTCACTTAGATTCCTAATAGAAAACAAAAACAACCCCAAAAATCAGTTTGGATGTTTTTTGGCAATTGTTTTTAACAAAAAAGTAACAGTTAAGATGAAAGCTGACTAATTCAGACCCTAACACTTTTTATTTCACAGTGTTGTTTTTGGTTGAATTATCCAAAAAGAGCACTAGATTTGAAAGCAGACATAGATTTAAATCTTGGCTTGGTCATTTACTAATTATGTGATCTTTCAAAAAGAGATAATTTGTGTAATACCTACCTTCACAGGGTTATGTTATGATCTTCCAGAAGATGTTGAATGTGCAGTATGGAAACATGAGTTCAAGTCTTCCCCCATATGCTTTCTTGACCTTGGACAAGTTACTTAATGGAGATAAGTCCTAGTTTCATCATATAAAAATGGGAGCACACAAGCCTCATGTTATTGTGAGGATCAAATGTGAAATGATGGTAAAGCCTTTTCTTGTTATTAAATTTGATTATATACATACTGTCTCAAACAAATGTGAGCACTTATTATCAAGATACATAGAGGCTAAAAAAGATTCTACTCAAAGATATCAGGGCAATACAGTGAAAATAACACTCAGAAATTCTTAAACCTTTGGTCTGTGAACATTTAAAAAATATATAACTATTTCACTGTATTTGGTTTCCTTTGCAATCCTATGTATTTTATGCATTTTTAATTGCAACAATGCCTTTATTTATTGGACAATTATCAGGTATTACATTACATTTTATGTAAGGTATATATTTTGTGCATTTAAAAACATTTTTCTGAAGAGTACATAGGCTTCACAGATGGAGTCTCTGACACAAAAAGGTTAAAAAGCCCTACTTCAGAATTAGAGGACCTGGGTTTGTTTCCTGCCTCCATAGCTCACTACTTGTGTGACCCTTGAGCAAATGATTAAATTTCCTTGGACCTCAGTTTCCTTTCCTGTAAAATGAGCGGTTTGGAGGAGACAGCTTTTGAAGCTCCTTAGAGCTCTAGCTCTTTAATCCATAGGAGATAGTGACATAGCACATGAGTATTTTACATGTTTAAGGGGGAAATGTGTAACTGCTGCTTTAAAGTTATGTGGAGGATAATGCGATGCCTAAAGGAAAGATAAGATAAGGTTTCTCAGTTTCTTCAGGTTAGCCTTCATATATTCATCACTCCTGAGCAGTGAAGATTTCTGGGAAATAAAATTAATAGTTCATTTATCTAATCTATTGGGGGTATTATGGAACCCCAAGCAAAAGAGCAAAGGGCATCATTTACTATTGACCTGCATCTTAATACCAGATATTTCATTAAAAGGAGAGCTATTATTGAGACAAGTCTCAGGGCCACTCTCGCAAGCCCCTCCCCCTCGATGTTTCCATGAAGTTGCCAGGCAGTTCCCCAGGACAATGTGATGTTATATTTAGAAGTGTAACCTGATCACCTGACGGTGAGCCCTGATTTAAGAATTACCAAGTCTAACCTTGCCATTCATTTTTAAAATATATACACATCAAGAGAATAGCCGCTGTGTGACCACTGGGATCCTAACCGAAGGCGAGACTTGCCCTTCTGAGAGGATGTTCTTGTAAAAGGCACAACTTCCAATCTGAAAAAGGCAGCTAACATTTGGAAGGAAAAAAAAATCCAAGGCACATTGCAGTAAATGCCTGCCCCCTAGCTTCTCTCCTTTCCCTTCTCCTCCCCCATCTAGCTTAGGCTCCTGACATTTATTCCAAACTAAAAGGAGCTATTTTCTTCCCTCTGGTCAGGTTCAAACCCGAGAGCAGGCTGCCGGGAGGGATGTCGATTTCCTGCCCGAAATTGTCTCTTGTTTTTCCTCTTTACTCCAGTCCTCCTTGTGCAATGCTGCGTGCCACGCCGCTGGCAGAGCAGACAGAGGGAGAAGGAGAGAGGGAGCTCCAGTCACACACACCAAACACACACTCACACTCAGACACACGCGCGCGCACACACTCACCCCAGCCTGCCAGGCGACTGCCATCCAGGAGATCGCAGTCACCAGTGGAAGGGGGGGGAGGTGGAGGTAGGGGGGGTCGGGCGTGGGTAAGGGGGGGGCTACGCCAGCCACAATCGTGCCCATGCTCGGCTCTCATCCTCGCCACCACCACCTTGCACAGGTCGGGAAATCGCTTGTTTTCCTTTGCTTTTGGGTAACACAGGCTCTGGCCGGGGGAAGGGGAGGGGAGAAGGGAAGCCTAGCTGGGTGAGCTCTAGGGGCTGGGGGTGGGGTCGGCGTGGGGGTGGGGTGGACATTGAACTTTTCCTTGGCGTGACCAGCATATTGGCAGTTTCCCCGGGCTAATCCCGGCGATCTGTGGTTTGTTCTTCCAGTTAACTTTGTTCCAAAGGCTCCCGGGGAGGGGGTTTGGGGGAACGGGAAAAGCAGAAGGGAGCCAGAGAAGGGGAGAGGGGAAAAAACAAAGGTCTGGATTTGGGACCTAGATAAGGAGAGAAAGTAAATAACCACCGCGCCCGGCAGGAGCTCAGTGGGTCTGGGCGGCCAGGCGTTAGCTGCTTGGTTCTCGTTGGCTGTTTCGGGGAGCTTGAAGGCCACCGCACCAAGGACACACACCACACACACACACACACAACACACACACACACACACCACACAACACACACACACACACACACAGAGGCACAGGCGCGCTCTCAATGGATACAAAAGTCTGGACGTTCTAGGGGCGAGGAGGGAGGGAGGGAGGAAGGGAGGAAAGGAGGAAGAGAGGGAAGGAGGAAGGGGGGCGGGCGGCGGAGAGCCCGGGGCGGGGGAGAGCCGGAGCCCGAGCACAGCCGGAGCCCGAGACCGAGCCGGAGCCGGAGCCGGAGCTGGAGCCAGAGCGACTGCGCCCGTGCCGGCTCCCCTAGCCATGCGTGCCGCGGGCCCGTGAAGGGAGCCGCTGTGCGCCGCTGGCTGCCAAGTCCTTGCCCCGCTTTTGTCTCGCCCTACAGTGAATCGGAAGATGGAGATGGATGTTAAGGGAGTTTCTCAGTGCCCGGAGCCCATCCCCCACTCTCAGGGGGCTGGCGGAGGCTGTCAGCAGCCACCACCACCACCGCCACCGCCGCCGCCACCGCCGCCGCCGCAGGATGAGCAGCCTGGGGAAAGTGCGGCCGCCGGGGACAGCCACCCAGAGAAGAGACCAAACAGTGAGAAAGAAGACAAAAAGGTAGGTCTGCGGGCCGCCCCCTCCCCAGCATCTCCGCGCTGAGCCGGGAGCCCTCGGATCGCCTCCACCCCCTGCCCTGGCTGGAGAGCCCCGGCCAGAGGGTGGGGTCTGCGGGCGGAGGGGCGGGGGCCTGGGACGGGGCGAGAAGGGCTGCCCGCCGGCCGGCCTGTCTTCTGCCTGCCCAGCTGTCTGTCTGTCTTTATGTTGTCTGTCGGTTTGTCGCGGGGCGGGGATGGCGATGGGGAGTGACTTTAGGAAGTGGAGGCAGCGCCGGCATGGAGGAGCCTGTCCTGGATTGCAGGGTGGATGGAACTGTCTGGGTGTGCAAAGGCGAGTCTGGCTGCTGCTAGCTCTCCCATGTCCAGGGATGAGGGGTGAGGGTGAGGCGGGGACGATAGGGGGCGGCCGGGGCCAGCAGCCCATCAGGGCGGGCAGACAGACCTCTGTTTGCCCTCCCAAATTCAAGGGAGGAGGCTCTGCAGGCTCCTTCCTCCAGAGCCACGAGTTCTGAAGTGGCCCTGGGGAAGCCTTGGGGGCCGGGGGCAGGGAGCCTGAGTAGAGAAGCCCCAGTGCAGATAGATGTCCAGTAGTGGGGAGCAAAGTTTCTCTCATTTGCAGAATTGAGCCTTGCTAATGCAGTGGGGAGCCCTGTGGCCTCACCTGTCACCTCTCCCCCACCAAGAGCATCCCCTCAAATGTAGCTCAGCCCTGCTGTGTCATTGCAGACCAAGGGACAGCTCCTTCTTACTGTAGGGAGGGACAGACAGCCTTTTAGGTAATGGAGTTCAAGGAAAGATGGTTCCAATTTCATTCTGTCCCTGCCACCCCTCTTAAATAAGTCACAAAGAGGAAGAAATGGAATTTTTAAAATTGCCATTATAACAATGTCAGCCCAGTGTACTAATCACAAAGTGAATTTGTCTCTGGGCATCTTCTGCATCTTCATATATTTTTGGTGAAACTGAGGGCTAAGTGGTCCGTGGAACACTTGGGGAAATTGAATGGGAATTCCTACCCCCCCCCAAAAAAAAGTTATGATTTGTGTTTAGAAGCTGTAGAACTGTGCTCAGGCCATTTACTACATCTCGCTTGGTCTGATCAATCAATGTAAGTTGGATGGGAAAGATGTGGGTAGTACGATGAGTTCCACTGTCTTAAGAGACAATACTATCTCAGGAAGGCTGGAAACCTTTGAGTTCACATTTCTGTGAATGCTTACAATATGCAGGTGGATTGAATAAATACTTAAACTTAAAGTCTGGATCACACTGAGTATGCTCTAGCCACACTGAATTTAGAGTTGGTTTCACTTGACAAGTCTTAGGGGAAAAAAACATGTGTGTCTTCCCTGAAATCACCAGTGGTCAGAATGTGTGCTGCATGCAGGAAGCAAGATGAGCATCAGGGCTGTGTGTCAATCCAGGGGGAAAATCAGTGATATGGTTTTCGTGTGAAAAGCAACTCACTAAAGCATTGGGATTGAAAGACATTTAGATTGGGTTTGTGTTGCTCTGCAGATACAGAAAAAAAGCCGATAAGAAAGAAGAGGGAAAAAGGCAATGGATTTTAATATTCTAATATACTCAGCTTTTCAGTAACTCTTGATTTCATGAATATTTAATTGTCATGACTGCATATTTACGATTTCAGATGACTCTCTGGTTCCGATTTTATGAAACAACCCTCTCAGAATATAGTTTCATCTAGCTGAACTTTAAATCGACGCTTTAAAATATCTTTGGGAAATAATTGCAGTCTATAGCCAGTCTTACCATCTCCATATTGTGGGTTCTCTTGGTGCCTTGAGCAGAGAAAATTCCTGCCATCAGCAGAAATCTGTGCTTACTAGTTACTCTTGGATGCATCATGCAGACTGTCTAATGTTTTTTACCCATGGTGGGTATCAGGGAAGCAAATCCAGTCCCTATATTACTGCAGGTGAAAAGAGGCCTGAAAAGGGGCTGATTACATTTAGTTAATTAGCATGTACGGATAATTGAGTATTCCAATGATGTGATTTGCTTTATGTTTGTCGGCAATTTCTTGAGGTAGAAACAAAATACTACTTTTTTTCCCCTCCAGGTGTTTGCCTTAAAAAAAAAATCAGACTCCATCCTCATCTTATCCCAGAAATCAGCTGGGTTAACTCTTTAGTGGCCACTCCATTCCTCCAAGAGACTATCTGTCCTGTCTTTTAGAAGAGTTGGAGAAATGGGGCCTGGGCCAATGGGACTTTCACAGCTGGTTTTGTCTTGTGACTGCCAAGGCAAGTTATGAATTTGATTTTTTTTTTGAGTGAATTCTGGCTTCATTAGTGATTGGGACTTTGGGGGACTGAATCAGATTATTCCACTATGATGAAAACCAAATCCAAACTTTAATAGACTTGTGTGTCTTGGCCAAATTGTGAAGAAACACACACATACACACAATGGGAAGGTTTTTTTTTAAATATGAAAATGGAAAAATATATTCTTGGTTGAAGCTTTGTGTTTTTTTTTTTAATAATTACAGGATTTCAGGTTAGAAATATAAGCATCTATACCCCTGAAGCACAAGCCCTTTATTTGGTAGCTGCCTTTGATCCTAACACAGTTCCTTCAGGGGAAAAAGGCATTAAGACGGCAATAATGTTTTCTCAGGATGTTTTGAGGCCATTGCTCTTATTCCCTTTCATGGATTTCCCCAGTTGTCCAGTTGGAATGAGAAGTTATGAACTTGTCTCGTAAAAAAAAAAATAGCCAGGAAGCTGTCCCAAGTTCTCAGCAAGTCTTTGGTAACCATAGCAGCAGCATCTATGCTGGCAGAGATAAACCAACCTCCAAACTTGTAGGGTCCCTTGCAGTTCCTTATAGAATCATAGATTTGGAGCTGGAAGGGACTGTTGACATCGTCTAGTTCAACCTCCTCATCTTACAGATAATGACGCTGAGTCTTTGAGAAGCTAAATGACTTTCTCAGGGTCCCACAGGTGCTATGTCATCTGGTGAGTCCAAATCCAGCATTCTTTCCACTGTCCTATGCTGCTTCAGTGTTGTTGGGGATTGGGAGGGGGTAGAAAAATAAATGATAGAAGGGGGATATTTTCAAAACTTTTAAAAACCAGCTTGTGCCCTACCAGGACAGTAGCCACAATGGGACAGTTGAGGCAATACCTCCTTTGGGAGACCAATTTACATAGTAGCAGTCCTACTGACTGTCACTTGCTCTGAAGTATCTGTGTCCCACTGAAGAAAGGGCTCTTGAGTACAATATCAAAGTACCCACAATTTATAGATTCATTGGATCAAGAACTGGAAGGAACTTTAGAAGGTCATCTGGTTGATCTCTGTGATGTAAAGCAGCACTGTCTTTAATCCCAGACCAGTTGGGAAGAATAGGCAAGATTCCTTCTTCAGCATAAACTGTTGCCATCCTCTCCCTACCCTGCACATGTCACTGGTTAAGTCCCCTTTTCTTTCGAGGAGGCAGCAGAATATTGCAGCACATCTAAATTTGGAGTCATACTTCCTTGTGGTCAAATGCTGCCTCTGACATTTACTGGCACAGTGTCCATAGGATGCTCAGATGACCTCTCTTAACCTCAATGTCTTCATCCGTTCAATGGGGATATTGAAACCTGAAGTGATTACCTCGAGGCCACTCTTGATGCTCAGCTGAGATCATCCATATGAAACCCTTTGCAGACTTCAGACTGCCATTGTTCTCCCTTAGCTCTGTCTATACTCTGGATAAAGAATAATAACTGGTCATCATCATTCGGGCTAGAGGCCCCAGGTATCTGAAGAAAATTACAGAACTACCCCTCAGCATTCTTTCGTCTAGGTTTAATAATCTTAGATGTTTTAACTGTCTCCCTGCCCCTTTCATTAACCTATTGATTTTCTTCTACCATTCAGTTATGCTCAGGAAGTATTTCTGAACCTTACACCACCCAAATTTTTAATTAGAAAGGTTTTACAACTCATTTTTAATGATAATCATGGAGAATCACAAAAAAGCAGAATGGAGATAGAACCATCCTTGGAATGAGGAAGACAGGTTCTCTGATTCTTCTTGGCTATGTAATCCTGCTCAAGCTAGTTAACTTCTTATTCCTGACGACACGCTAAAGCTTGAAGTGGCAGACTTGGATTGGTGGAGGGAATTTCTACCCTGGGAGTTCCCCAAACCAATGAAATCATAAAATAAAACTTAAAAAATGTGAGCCATCACTTATGTTGTACTTTAAGGTTTGCAATGCACATTTTATACACACTTAAGCTTCATAATAGACATATAGATACCAGTTAGGGGGTACAGTGGACAGAGCATTGGACCTAAAGTTAGAAAGACCTGAGTACGACTCTAGCCTCAGATGCTTACTAGCTCACTTAACTGCTTAATTTCCTCATCTGCAAAATGGGGATAATGATAGCACCTAACTTCTAGGGTTGTTGTAGGGATACAATGAGATAATATTTGTAAAGTAATTTAAGGCAATACATAAATGCCAGCTCTTATTATACTTGCTGATGTGTTACCAAGTTTCTTGTTTGTATTTGAATCCAGCTAGATCCTTTGATGCTTGAAAAAAGGGTTAAAATGGCTTCTCTTCTCCTGTCAAGCCCATTAATTTGATTTTCTTTTACTGTGATTCTTGGTTAACAGGTGTGCTTCATGGCCAACAAGTGGTATAGCATTATTTAATTTAACAGACCTTGTAGCCTAAATGCTGGGAATACACAGATAAAACAAAATAAGCCCTATTCTGAAGGCACTCACATTCTCCAGGGGCGGGGTTACATTAATAAGGGGGCTAACTACGTATGCATATAGAAGTAAATATAAAGTGTATGCCAACTCATTCCAAGGCATAGAAAGTGCTCAGAACCAGAGGGTCAAGAAAGGGTTCATGTGAACCATATGTTCTTGGAAGATGGCGATTTTAAGAGGCAGAAATGAGGAGACAGGATATTCTGGATTAGGATGGGGGCAAGGTTGGGGAGATTACTGCTTGT